GTTTATCTTCTACATTAAGCGCACTGTAGCTTCTTGCGGTGTCAGTCGTCTCTTTATTTACAGCTCTACTAATTTTCGTTTCGTAAACTCTTAAATTAACGTCCCAGCAGAATCCCTTTTTATTAAATTACTCGACCTTTTTTTTACAAATATCATTCTTATGGATATACCCAGCTCTGATCATCTCTCTCCACTTGTAAAGCATTTTGAAAAACAAAATGCGGAAAATTATATAAAAATCTCGGATCTCCTTCAGGTCCTCAGAAAGCTGCGCTTGCAGGAACAAGATAACCAAAAATGTCTTAGGGCCCTTCTACGGGAGAACAATGAGATAAGTAGTGACCTCTCGCACCTGTGTGCACAAGTCAATAGTCTTCTCGCACAAATTGCGCAGCATCCCACCATCAATCAAGAAGAAGAGAATAGGACTGAGCAGTCTGCTCAAGACTTTTCTCAGCGGTGCCAAGCCGCTCGCAAAAACTGTTCAACACAAGAGGAATCATGTACTGCACCTAATGCAACCGCTGCACCAATTACATTTCCTGTCCAAGACGGAGACATTAACATGCTCACTAATGATGCTCGCATATATATTGCGCCGTTTAACGGGGATGGGACTGTACCATTCTCAGACTGGCTTTTAAAATTCAACGACTATGCGGAAGGACATATCCCACACTGGTCCAATGAGAAGAAAGCACGCAAACTACCGCTTTACTTGGTCCTTCACAGAAATAGAAAAGAGTGATTTCAACAAAGCGGTTGAGAGGCTTTGTGCTATTTATGAATCACCTGCGCAGCGAGACACTGCTAGACAAAAACTTTATCAGACTTATCAGCGTGACTCTGAGTCCGTGCACGAGTTTGCTGAACGGCTTCAGCAGCTAGTCACTGCAGCCACATCTGGACTGAATGTTTCTACGTTTAACGATACCTTACGGGATCACTTTTTGGATCGATTGCACCCAAAATTACGGTGTCATGTCAAGAAGGAACATTTGTTGACCTTTGAGAAAGCCTTTGAGTCTGTATTGAAAAATGAATGCTTACTCAAAGACCAGGAAATAGCCGAAAGAGATTCTTACCCACAAAACACCCGTCCGACTCACTCCTCACACAGTGATATACCCACTCAAGGTACCTTTCAATCGGAAATGATGGGATTATTAAGAGAATTAACATTGTCAGAGAGGAATAGGTCAGCAACAATGGAAGGTAATGTAATAAACGAAATTAGAAGTGGTTTTCGTGCACTTAACTCCAACTCACGTAGACCGCTAACTAACACACGTGCACCAAATAATCGTTACAGTGTTACACGACGTGATCGAGAGGTTGCGTACAGTTCAAGACGATATGAGAGAAATCACGATGGCAGAC